GTATCATCGATTGGAAGTCCACTCCATAATTTAGCATCTTTCCTACATAAGATCATTAATAAGAATTCACCTCCAGCAAACAGCTCTTCAGTTAACAGCTATTTTTTTTACTAAAAAATCTCAAATTTGACAATTTCTGCTGAAGCCTCTCTTTGGACGTAATATCACTCTTTACTAATGTACTAATAGATCTAGTTCTTGATGGAATAGATGGTACCTTATAGAAAAAAATACTGACATCTCAAAAACAGAATTTTTTAAAGCACTAAAATTAGTTGTGAATTTCACTTTTTTTATGTTCAATGCAAAATTTTATAGATAAATCTTTGGTTTACCCATGAGTTCTTCACTATCTCTTATACTATCTCTTATACTGATTTAGTTATGCAAGACTTAGAGTTAGTTTCATTAAATAACTTTCTGTGACACCACTGTTTTATGTAAGATATGTTGATGACACTGTTTTAGCTACTGACAATGCTCATATTGATGAGATTCTTATTAAATTCAATAACAAATCAAAGGACTCTTTCAATATAAAACAAATAATAATAAATAACGGGCAAAGTAAGAGTCAACACATTTCTTTGAAATTAACAAAAAATATATATTATAATTAACAGAGGTAAAATTACATAACGTATTATTAAATTCAATTCTTGCCACTACAATTTACAATGGAAATTGATGAAGACTCATTAAATTTCTTGGATATTTGCTTGATAAAAAAAGAGGAGACTTTTATTTTTGATTGGTATCATAAATCTATGTTTTCGAGTCGTTTCCTTAACCCTTATGTGGCCAACCAAAAAATCTTGTACCGGGGCCAACCGAGGTACCCGGGTACCTCTATACAAATTTATGGCTAAAAACGTGCTGTAGCCTTAGTTATATATAGCCTTAGTTATATAGTTATTAACTATAAATGAATATTATTTATTATAATTTATTTATTATTGATAATTTACTGCTTTTTGTATAAAAATCATTTTTATTTTATAATATACTACCCGAATCCATTATTTATGTATAGAGGTACCCGGGTACCTGGTTGGCCTGGGGAGGTACTTTTTTTGAAACTCGAAATTTTTTGTGAAAATAAATAAAAAAAAACTTTCTAATGCATAATTTTATAGGAAATCGGTCAAATAATGGGGATCCGAGACGATTTTAGCCAATATTTTTAAGAAAAAAAGTTATTCAACAAAATGTGCGACCATAGGTACCCGGGTACCTGGTTGGCCACATAAGGGTTAATTATTTCTCACGGCATCCTCTCTGTCAAAAAATTGGCATAATTGTTGGTTTGATCGATAGAGTTTTATTACTTTCTCATCCAAGTTTTCATAAAAGGAATTTTGACTTAGTTATAAAAATTCTTCTGAATAATGGTTATCCTTTAAGTTTGATACATTTTCAACTATCAACAAAAGATTTTACAAAAAATTTGATCTCTCTAATCGTGCTGATGATTTTGTTATTAATAAACAATTGACAACCCAAGAAGATAATAAACAATTTTTCTGTATACTATTTATTCCTAATATTTCTAAAAAAATCAGTATGCTCTTAAAAAATGTACTATTTTTACGTATGGCTTATAGAGGATGGCTTATAGATAAATAAGCTCAATAGATTTATCAAAGTTCAGAAAGATGTGCTACCTCAATCTTCTCAATCCAATGTGGTATATAAGATTGACTGTAAAGACTGTGATGCGTCGTATGTTGGACAGACAAGCAGATGCCTAAAAACACGTATAAGTGAACATAGGAATCATATTAATAGAAACACGATCCAACATTCGATCACACAACATCGGCTGGACTTATTTCATGAATTTGATTAGAATAACGTACACATTTTAGACAAAGAGTAAATTTTACATAAAAATAAACATATTATTATAGAAAGTGGCTAATCAATTACAAAATATAATAAAGAGCATACAGCCACAACAATAGATGTAAAAATGAGTCATATTTAAAATTCACAAATAAATAAGTAGACGTTTCGGTCAAGATTTGACCATCATCAATATATAAAAGATGACAAATAATAAAAATATTACAAACAAGAAACAATTAACAGTAGTCGGAAGGTGTTACAATAAAATCAAATTATTGAAAAATATACATAAAAATACAAGCGCAAAGTTCGCAAATTAAAACAAGGTGAAATAGTGTTTTCGCTTGTTGTAAAAATTGAACAGCGTGAATATAAATCAAGAGAGATGAGTGATATTATTAATCTTATGATACAATGCTCTGTTACAATTCCTGTTATCTTAAAGAGTGGAGCAAAAAATTCGTGTAAAAATACAGAATTTTTCAGTTCTATTAAATAAAAAAAAATGAAAAAGAATTAAAAATTTTTTTTTATTATACCAATACCAAACACTTTCAATTTCATAACAATTCACGGAAATTAATTTGAGATTGTGATAGACAAGACGTACCACGTATCTAATGGCACGAAAACTCACAACTGAGATACCAGAATAAGTAACAAACTTTTGTAACTGTATATAAATTTTATTTTTTAATTCCGACAATTATGAAGGCCCGTTTAAAACGGAAGACTATTTATATCATGTGAAGAAAGGAGAGGAAATGAGAATGGAGGGGGAAACACTAAGAGTAGGGAGAGGAACTAATTACCAATAAGAGGGAGATAAATTTCAGGAAACCGTTCTGTATCACTCTGTTTATTAAGGCCTTTTTCTTGTCTTTTTATATGTATCACCTCGGAGACCATCCTTTTATAATAAAAGCGTTCAGCATCAAGAATGCAAGGATTTTCCCAATCAATCGTATGATCACTTTCTAATTTATAATAAGAGATAACTGATAAGGAGGTAGTTGGTTTATTAAAATCTTTAATATGTTTTTTAAGTCGTGTCTTTAACTTTCTTTTTGTCTGACCCACATAAGAATAATTGCAGTCTTGACAATTTACTTTGTAGACAACATTCGAAAGATCTTTTTTAATTTTGTCTTTACCAGTTTTTATGAAAGTGCTCATACTATTCATTTGTTTATAAGCTATATTGAAATCAAATTTGCTTGTAAAGAATTTGAATTTCTCAGACATTCTCTTGAAGTAAGGAATAGTAAAAAATCTCTTATTAAAGTTTGAGGAATCCGAGTTAGAAACAACACCATGTTTTCCAATCATCTCAAAATTCTGCTTCAAAGACAAAGTTTTTATCCCGTTATTAATTGTTGTGAATAAAAATTTAGCAGGATATCTGTTCTGTTGGAGAGTTTTAATTAGAGCAATTATGTTATTTTCATGGAATTTTGGATGGAAAAGAAATAATATTGTCTAAAAGCCCAATAACAATACCCCTTTTATGTTCTAAAGAATGATTGGAAAAAAAGTTTAAATATCTTCCAGAATTAGTAGGCTTTTTGTAATTATCACAAATCACTCTCCTATCCTCAATCAAAAGTTTAACATCCAAAAAATTAATTCCCCTATATTCTCACCATAATCGACAGTAAATTTAATGCGTAATTTATTCATTTTTGTATTACACAGTAAATGGAACAGTTTAATGGAACATGTACAACAAACCTTATAGAAACAGTTCAATCTTGACAGTCATGTAAGTTTTTTTTTACCATTTTTCGCGTATAATCTCATGTTAATATTTTTTAGATTATTTTTAATCTTTTGATCGGTCGTTTTAAAACAAAAACTCTTTTTTTTTTTAGGTAACTTAGTAATTTAATGACCAAGATTAACTCGGACATTACCACGGTTTTTTCTCGCATTTTATATGGTATTAGTTTATACTCATATGTGCTACCATTATGTAATTTTGTTAATATATTTTTTTTTGTATTGAAGAGGACCGTAGGTCGAAACGTATATGTTTAATTCACTTTAATATTCACTTTGAATAAATGGTAAATACACACTAATAACCAGTGTTGGCTCAAATTGGCTTTTGATTTATTATTTTTTATAATTTTCAATGTTATAAATACATTTTCTGTTTTTTTCTGTCATGTTCAGAGGTTATTATAATGTCCATTATATCGTCATCATTGTAGAGATAATTTGTATATTCAAAATAATTTTGTGCAATATATATTACTATGATATCATTATTCATTTTTATTTATTTCATTAACTTTTGTTCTCACTTTTGTAAATATTTATGAAAATTTTTTCTACGTTGCCTTAAAAATAAATGTTAACGCTTGGAAACACTTCAGAATGTTTTAGACCAGTCAATTTAACTAGTATTGACGACATTCGTAAAGCTACTTGACCGTTCCATAGAAGCATTGTAGATGAAAACGTTTGAAACATTTGAAAGTGGCAACTCGATCGCACCCTAAATGTGATGCTAAGTTAATATTGTAGCATTTTAACAATAAAATCATTACAACTAGAGATTTTTATAAATCGTTTATATAAATATGTCTTAAAACATTTATTTGCATACATATTATATACATATTATGTATGCAAGAGAAAATTAATATAAAAAAACAACAAAATTTGTATTACAGATGTGAGATGAAACTCAACTGTAATAATATTATATTTAGAATATTTTCTTCTTAATTTAAGAGAATTCCTCTTGAAGCCTTATATAAAAAATAAAATTCTCTAAAATTTATCGGACTCTTAATACTAAAATTATTTTTATAGAAATAGCTAAAATTTTTTTGAGATATTGATCGTAATCCTCTCAATCAAAGTAACTTTTTAATAATATTTCAAAAAGAATCATAGATTCTACCTGTAACTTTTCAGCAACCTTTCAACAACGTTTCATGTAAGAATCATGGACATCTTACTATTCCAAAGCTGTTTCAGAAATGTTACTGACATATATTGCAACTTTTGTGAAATGTTTTTAAATTATTATTTTATATATATTTCAACAGATCTCTGTAATTTATGATGCAATATAAATTAGAAGTATTTGACAAATTAAAAAATATATTGCACATAACTGATAAAGATGTATTATTGTAGATTCTCTTCCACTTTGACTTGCTGATCTTGTGCTTCTAATGCTGCTGTTTGAGCCATGTTTATCTCCTCTATTCTTTTATGCACCATTCTAGGTTGTACTTCCATGAATATTTCCATCATCTTATGATTAGTGTAGATGTATTTCTGTACACAATTATTTATGCAGAGCTCCTACAAATTTCAGTTAATTAAATTTCATATTCAATATAATTATACAATTTAATATACTTTCATGAAAATACTTACTTCATCAGAAGTAATTTCTCGAGACAGAAAAGTATTTGCACATTTTTTGAAACACATTTCAGATATTTGGTTGTACAGCAAAAGAAAATCTTTAAACTACTGAAAACAAATTTCTCGTTAACATACCATTTAACATGATCAATATATCATTTATAACAAAAAATTATATAGACACAATGTAAAATTATTGGTTAAGTGTGAACAAGCAATCAAATCTTAATAAACATAAGTGTAATATTAAAGATATGTACATTTCTTAGTTGTAATGCATCCATGTACACAGCTGAATATTTTTAACACGCGTTTTTATTCGAAACAATAGAATCCGATAGAAAAATGCGATGGTCTGCCCTGCAAAGCAAGATATTAATTTTAGAAGTTTGCTACTAGCGTAGCAAGTTTACATTGAACATTTGATACGCGGGTATATATTAATACCCTCTTCACCTCGAATTTTGATAAAAATACATTCATTCGATGCGTTTTTGCATAAAAATAAATAAAAGGTAATTGTACAGTTTAACTTCCGCAGTCCAAAAATCAATAAAATTGAGATTATTCGACGAGTTTCTGCATGAAACGAAACAATCTAACAGAAAAAGCGTCGCTCTGCCCCGCAAACCGAGATATTCGTTAAAAGTCGACTATTCAGGTTAAAAAAATCTGTTAATCCCATTTTTAAAGCCTTATGTCCACGATACTAGAAATTGATCCGAGACTTCAGATGAAGAAAAAATTGACCAATCGCAATGGTCATGTAATCAAATTGTTCAAATGTGATTTGTTAATTTTTTTCTACGTCTGAGATCTCGGACCAATTTCATCGTGCACATCGGATTTTAAGGCTGTCGCACACAAAAATCCGTAACAGTCACCTAGTTTCCACCGAGAGTTTAATCCGGATCAGAATGTAAGGACCAACCAACTGTCGAGTATTCCCCTGTCATTTGACTGTAACAGGAGGATACTCGACTGTAGTTGGTTGATCCTTACATTCTGATCCGGATTAAGCCCTAGGTGAAAACTAAACTATTGTTACGAATTTGTGTGCGACAGCCCTTAAAATCTGATGTTCACGATGCTAGAAATCGGACCAAGATCTCGGATATAGAAAAAATTAACAAATCACATTTGAGTCAATCAAGATGTTTTAGATTACATAATCTAACGGAAATAGAAATAACAATAAACTTATTCATAATCTCGCAATAAGGTGAATTTCAACCGGTTGACAATCGCCTTATGAATAAGTTTAATGCTATTTCTATTTCCGTTAGAGTACGTAGATCTAGAGCAGTATCCTGATTGGCTCATCAGCTTAAGTTTATGTCTTAAGGTTACTGTTACAGAAATTTTGTCTGAAACAGCCCTTATGGTTCATATACATCAGCGCGATGTTAGGCGCGTGCGACATGCGATATCTAATGACAGTATACCTTTAAAATGAGAATATCGGTAAAACTGTACACTCATTGGATATCGCGCGCGACGAACATCGCATTGGTGTGCCGGAGGCATTAGAGAACCAATCAGAGCTGCGTTCAGATTCCCCATGCGGGAGCACCTAACATCCAGAAAGCGTTCAGATTCTTTTAGAATTCCTTTAGTGGGCGCTTAGGTGGAACGTCAGATTCTTACTCTATCCACCCGAGAGGATGGAAAAATCACCCGGTTCCTTGAAGGGTGGAATGGGTGATAGTGGCGCATTAAAGATTTCCTATACTATCCCAGCATGTTTGACGTGCATCTATACGAAAATTTAAATTTCAGGTTGTATTGGTTATAAACAATATAAACCATAACTCAAGGAACATCTTATAATACGCTCGCCTATACATGCGTAACTCACTATATATATTGGTTATTGCGAAGAGTGTTGCTAAGGTCTCGGTAGTCTAAAGGCTCAGGACGCTCACACGGAATGTAAGAGATCCGGGTTCGACTCCCGGCCGAGGCAATATTTTTCGCAATAAGTTTATTACAGTTTTTTAAGATTTGGGAGAATTTGGGGGGATTATTTGTTTCAGATTGATTGTGTGAATCCGATAATTTCATCGGCTCTTAATTTATTTCTGAAATTTTAATTCAATTTAATTGAATGTATATTAGATAGTAGTTCAACATCTTAACACTCGGACCGGGAAGGCGCTTTGTATTTAAAGTCTTAATAAAATTTTATATAATTATTATAGATATATAAAATATTTTTTCCCGGGCATTTTGTAGTTATTATTAAATTTGTTGGTATAATTATCATTTTCATGTTTATTATCAAATATTAAAAATAATAATTATCTCATGTTTGAACCTTTATTATCAGACAATTGACAGTAAAATCATTACTCCGTAATTTTTTTTATTAATTGTAATAATAACTATTATGTAATTTATAATTATCTCTATTATAATATAAATGCGATCTTATTGCATTTATATTGTAAATTATGTATATTATAAATTACATTATATTGATTACATTATATTAAAAATTGTTATAAATTGTTGTCATTATATGGTACGTACTTATTTAATATTTATCATCAATTACTAATTATTTTATTTTGGAGCGGTTTAAATAAATAAAATAGATATTTGTGATAAATTTTTAATCATACAAAAAATTATATTTATTGAAAAAATTTCAATCAGTCTCCGCAATATTAACTAACGGTATTATACAATATGACCGTGGAACTGACTAATTGTGTTTGTGTTTGCTGTTTAATAGAATTGACCACTTATAATTCACAGTTAATCATCGATTCGGCTTAATCGAGTTGATGAGACCAGCTCTTTGTATATAATACTAAGTATCCAACTCAATTAATAGTTTTAATTTTTCTTCAAAGATATTCTTATTGAAGGTCTTCTTAATCCAACTTAAGTAATGGCAACTTTAATTCTCTGTTCAAAAATTATTACTCTTCGAAAAAAATTAACATATCAAATGAAAAATTAAAACCCAGATGCTACAATCTTAACTAATCAAGTTAAATTCTATCAAATTAAAAAATAACACAAATAGTATTGTCTCTTGTTATTTACTTAATTCTAATGATATGTATTATTCATATAAAAGATTTAATATCAACAAAATTGACGCAAAGTTAAATTCCATGTACAATAATTCGGATACCAAATTATATAAATAATATTAATTTTAATGATATATACCATTTCTCTTTAAAAGATTTGATATCAAGAACTAGCGCAAAGTTAAATCCCATTTCTTTATATCATGCCAAATTAAATAAATAATGAATATTAATCTAATGATATGTATCATTTGTATAAACGAATTGATATCAACAACTGTGGTGCCTAGTTAAATTCTACTTATCAAAATCAAAAGTAAAACCCAAGTGATACTATCTTTATTATAATTTACTTAATCCAAATGATACTATCTTTAATTTTTATGAAATGAAACCTAAGCATACTCGTACGTATATCTTGTTAAAGGATCTTCCTATTCCAATCCAAATGGTTTAAATTCCTCTTAAATGAAATTATTATATCACAATTCATTCAAAGACATTTTCTCTTCCAACTAAAGTAGTGTAGTTATTATTTAATTTTCCTTCAAAATATTATACAAAACATTATCACAAAATGGCGTTACCTTGCTCAATTTAAGTGTTATCATAAAAAATTAAAGAGTTAACCGTATAAAACGAAAAAATTTAATTTAAAAAAAAATTGTTTATGTAAAAATACTTAGCGCTGCTAGATCTCGATGTAATAACATAGTAAACTATGAATTTATTGGGAGTATAAATAAGTTTCCGTCGTTTGACAAACAAAGGCGCTACCAGTATGTTATAGTTAAAATTGTCAGCTGTAAAACGTCATATCGTAAGGTTGGACATCTGGCAAGAAC